TATGGTATTCTCTCCGCCGCTTCCCAAGTGAACATGCGCTGAAGCTTATTTGGTGCATGCTATCGCTAGCAGAGCGCTAGAAAAATATGCAACGCGGCCGCAGTCACCTGGGAGAGAAGCCACATAACATCAACGCCACTCAATTGCAATTTAACGACGCAAGCGCTCATATTGTCACGTTAACTCCTTGAGATGACCACTTCTAACTGAGTCCAGGATAGTCAGGTATAAATGCTTGTAGTGCTGACATCGGTCGCGTTATTTGTTGTTCACGTCCTGGTTCTCTAAGACTCTTTGTCTAGTACGGCGTAGCGATGAGGTCGTTGTCTAAGTAGTGTTGACGTTCTGGTTTTTGAGACACCTTGCCTAGTACCATGTTAGCATACTATAGTGGTTATGCTTATTTTATTGTGTGCGCAGTGTAAACGTTGTAAGGCTAGAGACCAAGAGCAGTGCGCGTTTCGCACATAAAATTCAGTCAGACCTTACCACAGGCAACTACAATACGTACATGTGCAAGCTTAAATTGCAGAGAAGACAGCAACATCTAATTGCAGTAACTTGCTTTTGATGTACATAGATAGATGCTGCGTTACTACACTGAGCGGTAGGGAACCGTCGTCAATAGCGTCGTGCCACTGCGACAGCGGGTGGACTTTTAAGTGCGGACGCCGTTGGTACTACAATCACTACGCTCGTGACTGCCGCTGCACCTTCGCATATCGCGCATGATAGAGACGTTTTGTACTTGCATGGTAACCAAATGGTGGTATAAGGCGGCAAGCTTTGAATCAAAGACTTGCTTGTGAGCACCGTCCAGAGACGACGCGACCCACAAACACAAACACGATGCTCTCGTCTCTGTCGCTGCTGGACAAGTCTTGACCAACGTGACGCCGTGCGGCAAACAAAGATCTAAACTAGGTGTTTATATAATTGCTTTTTGTTTTAAGAGGTTGGTTATCCGTAAATTTTATTGCTTGTCGTCAGTGGCATGTCATTCAAAGCCTTCTTTCCGCAGAGATCGCCATCAGATCAACAAAACTTGGACAACGACCTCATCGCTACGCCGTACTAGACATAGAGTCTTAGAGAACCAGGACGTGAACAACAAATAACGCGACCGATGTCAGCACTACAAGCATTTATACCTGACTATCCTGGACTCAGTTAGAAGTGGTCATCTCAAGGAGTTAACGTGACATTATGAGCGCTTGCGTCGTTAAATTGCAATTGAGTGGCGTTGATGTTATGTGGCTTCTCTCCCAGGTGACTGCGGCCGCGTTGCATATTTTCTAGCGCTCTGCTAGCGATAGCATGCACCAAATAAGCTTCAGCGCATGTTCACTTGGGAAGCGGCGGAGAGAATACCATAAAGGCTACATTAGTGGCCGTTTCAGCACCCTATACCAGTCGATACTAGATCGTCAGACTGCTTATTGCATTGGGCGGTGTGACACATGCCGCTCAAATCAATGGACACAAAACTAGCTTCTTTATATATATACTGCTGGGATAGCCTATCCGGCAACGTTCAGATAGAAATCATAGTGAAAAACTGCGCGCCAACAAGTGTTCTACGCTACGCTACGCTATGCGGAAACTGCGTGCGCGTTTGCTCCGCTCGTGGGGCCTTTCAGCAGCTGAGTCCAGCTTCGCCACGAGTCAGGTCGAGTTTTGTGCCACGAATGCGGGTGAAAAAGTCCTATTGCGTTAAGCGATTGAATGCTTTTAAGAATAGGTAGAATAGGCAACTGCACAGGCGAAAGGGTCTAATGGATTACTCGGTTGAGCAATAGTTCTAGCCTACAGTAGAGTAGAGTACTGACCACGAGATACTGCGATCAGTGCAGTGGTCATCATGAACATTCTTGGCCGTAGACCTGTAACGTATTTATCGGAGCAATGAGGTCCCAAGCTGCGTATTAGCTGCGGCAGAGCGCATGGCGGATAATTCCAAGATCAATAGTCTAACTCACAGAGTTTGCTCTGTGTGAGGTTGCAATTTGTCATCTTGCATCCATCGCGTTCGTTATCGCCCTCAGTTGCGATGGCCGCCTTAGCATCTGCCCCTGACACTCGATGACTTGAGGAAGGCAACTTCTCGCCAGCGTCTGGCATTAGATAGTCGGATGATTCAATAGTCGGATGATGGATGATTCGATAGTCGGATGATGACGGCCTATGGTCAGTGTCTGGCACTGGAAGGTCGAATGATGACGTCTTGACGTTAGCGACGAACTCGGCGGCTGGATCTGAGTGGCTGTCAACCGTATCATTCACGGCGGGAGATCTTTCGCGCTTGGCCTCGGTGATAGGCTCTGTATTGCTGTCTGTAGCATTGCTCCAAGCATTTGCAAAGTCAGTATTCTTGTCGTCCAGAGGTTTTCGGTTTCGTACATCTTGGTGACAATTTTGTCATCTGCTTCATCGATTACAATCACATCGTTTGTGGTCGAGATGGTCTGCGCATTTCGCGACGGCAACAGCAGCAATTATCGCTACTTGCACTAAAAGTGATATGTCATGCTTAAAAAGCCTCCAGTGTTCTGGAACTCTACAATGTCTAAAAGATTGAACCCGGGACTCGAGAACGATGTCACGCAGTACCGACGACAAGGTGACTTGTACCGTCAACTGTACGATGATGATTCGGGTTGCGGGCAAGCCCTCCTAAAATAAGGTGCGGTGTGCGAGGAACGTCGTTCGATAACTCGACAAGACGCTGCAGTAGTCCATACATATACCGGACGATTTATCGAGAACGGCAAGCGGCGCGTCATCCGCGCGATGGCAGTGAGTGTTTATATACATATCAACGCGTTCCGCGTTATCTTAATTACAAAGCACTGGGTCGTTGGGAGTGAGCTGTGCACGGAAAATCCATTCCGTGTTGGACCCTACTCGGAGAGGGATAGCTCGCTCGAGGTCGTACGCAGGCTCCTCTACTCGGACCAAGAAAGTGGAGATGCCCCAGAGACTAGCCTAGAATTATTCCAGGGGCTTTGTTCAGAAGACAGCTCCGTCGCCGAGAGAAGGCGTCATGATTGCGGACGATGTGTCTCCTAGTAGGGGCATGACGATCGCAGGTCGATAACCCAGCCTCATACGACTGCGACATAAATCCATTGGCGCGAGCCGCAACTGGTTTTCGAGGTGTCGGACTGGTCCGTGCTCCGGATTCTGGTAGCATTCAGCTCAGGGGTCGACTGGCTTGTGCTTTTATAATGGGGATTCGACACGACTGTGACCCTGTTGTCGCTAAGCACTGCACTTGAAGTCAGATTTGAATCCGTTCCTTTATGGTGTTGAGAATAACGGATCAAAGTTAGCCACGCAGTGGATATTTTTTAAAATGACGAATATGCCACAGTCGTAGCCGTACGGTTGTTGAGGCACCCGCGAGACGACGCAGCCCAGATGGAGGTGGTTGGCGAAGAGCGAATCACTGAAAAGACTAGCTAAGTCATCAGGAAACTCGAGGAGCTTCAGGTCGTGCTTGTCCGACCTGCCGCTAATGTTCATCGAGTCCAAGATTGTCGCCCACCCGTGGGAATCACCCGGTAGAAAAAGCAAGACCCTGCTAGTAGACGCTATGCTTGGAAATGGGCACGATCTACAACGGGCATGTGCGCAGGTTGGTGGCTCCGTTGTTAAAGCGCATAGCACCTCGTTCGTCTTTGGTGATGCGCGTTGTCCAGTCCGTGGGGCTCCTCTTGTAGATGGCGTAATGGCTCATCAAGACGAAAGCAATCGCGTCGCCCGTGTCAGCGATGGCCAATTGCATGAAGAGCTCGATGGTTGTTTCGATGAGCCACTCGCCAGACCGTAGCGCTGACCACATGACGTTAAAGTTGGGCATGGAGCGGTACCCATGCGCAAAATGAACAGCGTCGTCGTGGTCGCGCGTCAATTGGCTGACGTCATTCGTGAGCTGGTGCACGGCTGCAGACGAGGAGACATTGGGTACATGTCGTCGAGACGAAGAGCGCTTGGACTACCTAGTGAGCATTGTAGCGTCGAGATTTGCTTGTGAGCGCCTTGCCGAGGGATTCGTGGCCTTTGACGCGTTGGCCATCGCTTCGTGGGTGCTCGGGTTGGCTGGCGACGCCTTAGTGCGCTTCGTCACCGGCAGGACCACAGCGTTCAACTTGGCAGCACTCTTTGTCTTGTCCATGGCAAGGGCGGGGCGGGTTGGGGCGGTGCCGGTTTGGGAGCATGTTGTCCCTCGAATGCTAGTACCCGTCGTCACCAAGGGACATACGCCACTGCACTGCAAATATATTGGGTCGCAGTGCTAGAGGATGCTTGCGATTGAAGTTCAATGAGAGAGGCTTGCAGCGAAAGTGGGCCGTTGATCATTCGGACGAGAACATGGTGTAGAGAAAGAAGTTTAAACGTCAATGCTGGCGACCGAGGGCTGTGTTCCAGGTGAGAAATAACGCGCGGGCGCGTCACGCCTTAAGCTTTCCACGTCGTGACAGCAAACGCGAGCGCGTGCGAGTGGTGCTTGAGCTTCTGCTTCTTTACGATGCTGACCGCGTTGTCAGACCGTTGAATGAGTCCAATAGGCATGTGGACAACAAATGCGTCGGTGAAAAGGTTGAGATCCGAAGGCCACGCTTCGCCCGCGTTAGATTTAACTTCGACAATTATAGCAGCAGGTGCGTAGGGCAAGCCAATGACACCTTTGGATGGACCGCGCCCGATGGCATCGAGAGCGGCGCGCCCTTGCTCCGTATCAAGCCATTCCGCCTAGACGTAGCGGTAAATTGTTCTGTTCGTACTGGCATGGACTACGATGGAGTTTTTGTTGCAAAACACTTGGCTCGGCGAGCACAGAGTGGTCAAAGAGCTCTGGGTAGATGTCGGGTCGGTAGAGCATGTGCGCGAGCGCACGAGGCACCTCGTTCTTGAGCAGGCGTCGTCAACGTAACACGACAGTTTTTTGGCCGCTGCAAACTGTGACCGTTGGTCGCATACAGTGGTGGGGCACTGGGTGTGAACCTAGCCCACGTCAACACCACTAGGCCGGGACAAGGCGATGTGTGTTTGCATGTTTAGTCCTACGGGAGAAGCCCGTTGATATGGGACTGTACGTCCTTTGGCAGCAGTCTGTAGACGTAGCTTAGCTGTCACTTTCCGTTCTGCCTCTTAGTACACTAGCCGGTGTTTAGGGAGTACGGCCTCCCTCTGTCTGGTGTTTCACGTTTTGGTTGTTGCCAGGGAGCGGAATCGGTCACAAAGTCGACTTTAGTTGACCAAGATCTTTTGACATCACCGTACCAAGATGGCCAACGGTGGTGACCAAGCGACACGACAAGGACGGGACGTCAGCGATGTCTGCGATGCGGCAGCAAGTGGCGGCGTCCTCATGGTCACGCAACTCGCTCATCCCAAGTTCACGAGCCTCGCGTTCCACGACGTCGTCGCGTGGAAGGAAGCGCGCAAGCTGTACGAGTACGAGATGCGTTTGCAGTGCGAGCGCCAGGGCAAGAGTTTTGACGCGATGTGCGTGCCTGTGCGTGCCTCGTTCCACCGCCTGGATTCCTCGAGCACTGCATGGGCACGTGGGATCTCCTGGACGAGTACACGCTGGAGACGGTCCCCGAGGCCACACTCTTGAAGAAGATCAACAAGCTCATCTACAAGGCCGAAGGTGCCAGTACGCCCGACTACAAGAAGGCGTTCAAGGAGCTTCATTTCGACAATGGAGAGAAGAGCGTGCTCAACCGCGTGGCACAGTTCATTTTCCATGCGCGGAAGGCCATGGATGCGCATGCGCTCTCGGGGCTTCGCAACAACCCCAAGTTCAAGAAGAAGATTTTCAAAGCTATTGTAGACAAGGTCACGCCCAAGATGTTCCGTGACGAGGTCCAGTTGCGCCTCGCGTATGAGCTCGGGCAAGAAGACGACGACGAGTTCAACATTTGGCGTCTTCAGAAGATGCTTCTCAAGCTAGCGCAAGAGTACAAGAAGGGACTCGACATCTCGGCCAAGAAGCGAGCCCAAGAAACGACTCGGATGACGAGCCCGAACGCAAGAAGCGTGCTGTCGGTGAAGATCGTCCTTTGGACGTCGGCAAGAAGATGTCAGAGGCGGCAAAAAAACTGAGGTCCTGAAGGAAGAGGTCCTGAAGGAAGCCGACCACGAAGATGATCCAGGCAAGTCCAAGAAGCGGCAGAAGGCCAAACGTGCCTGCTGGCATTGTGGCGACGAGAAGCACACGCTGCGCGATTGTACCAAGGCGACGAGTGCGCAGAAGAAGGAGGCTGTGAAGCGCAACTGGATCAAACCCGGTAAGGCGCCCGAGAAGGTGGACATTTGAATGTTCCAGCCAGTCCCAGTAAGGATTGCCTTTTGTCCACAACATATATGACTTACTTGTGATGTTACGAGTGAGAGGTTCTTCGTAGAGCCTGCAGCTGTCCTGTGACGGCAAGCTATCTTGTGATAGCCGTCTCCCAGTGGGGTGTAGCTGTCGTGTGATGGCTACCACACAAGAGGTCAGAGGTATGGTGCAATGGATTAGGCTGACGGCGATTCTCCGGGCCGTCCTAGCATTCTCTAGGCATTGAGAAGATCCGCGATCCTCGGTACTCTTTGTCGCGACCTCTGGGAAGATTGATGTCAATTGAAGAACCGTCATGGCACCGACACGACGTCGACTATGGGGCTGCACACCGATGGACTGCGGTCTGTCGGGTCCGGCTACGGGGATGCGATTTGTATCGATCGGTGATCAGAAGAAGGCTTGTGCCTACTGTTGAGAAGGCTTGTGCCTATCGATTGGCTTGTGCTCAAGATGGCTTGTGCCAAGATGGAGCTTGACGATCGTCAAATCTCCATTGCGAGTGGGGTGTGTGACCGTTGGTCGCATACAGTGGTGGGGCACTGGGTGTGAACCTAGCCCACGTCAACACCACTAGGCCGGGACAAGGCGATGTGTGTTTGCATGTTTAGTCCTACGGGAGAAGCCCGTTGATATGGGACTGTACGTCCTTTGGCAGCAGTCTGTAGACGTAGCTTAGCTGTCACTTTCCGTTCTGCCTCTTAGTACACTAGCCGGTGTTTAGGGAGTACGGCCTCCCTCTGTCTGGTGTTTCACGTTTTGGTTGTTGCCAGGGAGCGGAATCGGTCACACAAACACCTCGGTCATGGCTGCGATCCGTCTTGCTTGTCGTGAGGACAACCGAGCTGGTCGTCCACACCGGATCTTGAGTCACGTCATCCGGTGTCAGCTCGTGTTTCTTGGCGCCTTCACCAACCGATCCGTGATGGGCTTGTACGCAGCCATGTCCGCGGGCCATACAGTAGTAACCCTTGGGGATAGCAATCGGAAAGTTGCCGTAGGTCTTGCGAAAGCCCTTAGTAGGTTGCATCGCCCGCTTCACGCATATGCTGTCCATAATCAAAGACTCGGAATGGGCAAGTACAGCGTAAAAGTGAAGAAACATTGTTGGGGGTATGGAGGGATCCACTTTCCTCTTGCTCGTTATAAGGAAAATTCAAGACTGTATGATGGACCGATGCTCCACTTACTAGTACACTGTACTACCCCAATGACCGCCCCGATACTCTGAACAAATTAATAGTGGCGCGTTGAGGGCTGCCATAACGCAGCTTCGAGACTTTCGACGTTGCTCATTGATGGCCAGATCTTCATCCCAAACCGTATCGGTTGCAGGCAGAGGGTTGTGAGACTCTAATTTGAATTAAGGACAGTCCTTAATATGTCAGAGCAAGTTCTGCGTTAGCGCTGTGGACTTGGCACTTGCAAGAACATAGCTTCGAAAAGCACCTGCAGTTGCTACTCGTGCCCAGCATGCTTGTTGCCTGACGAGCTGACAAGATTAAAAAACGCTCGAATCAAGATAGTTCGCAACCGTCCATCGAGGCGCAGCTTATGAATCACGGCCCATTGGCGGGTGGACGGCTCGAAGCGCTTGCTTTTTGAACATGACTCGCGTCGCCGAACGTTAAGTGAGGATATGCCTTGCCACCTCGTAGCAACGAAGCTGATCATGCAGGACTTGACGACATGTACATCAATATACCGGTATATCACCGTTGCAACCAAAATCGAGATCTCACGGATGAAGTCTTCCGCATTTCATCTTGTCTGGAAGATTTGATGCCCGCAAATAGTGCTACACCGGCTATTAGTACCAAGCTTAGAAACTAAATAATCGATGGGCAAGGGTTTTGATTCGGTTGGTGATGGGTCTTCGCGAAAAAAATCGATAGATTGCGTTGTCATCGCTTCCTCGGCAGCCTCGTTAGAAATCACACAGCGGCTACCGATCTAGACCAACAGAACGGCACACTATGCACATATTACCACTGGTTTAGCTTACATAACGAACAATATCTTTTTCATATTTGCATTCTACTACACACATCTCCGACCGTGCCACGGTACAGCACACTGCGTGGCTCAGACTTCTTCCATCCCCTGGCACGTTTTGGACGACCATAGATTTGTCCTCGCCATTGGCCAACGTCGCAGGCAACGCATTCGACGCGTCCGAGTAACGCCAGTTTTCTAGCCGAGCCATGCTTATGCTACTGATTCCTCCAGCACGAAGTTCAATGCCCTTGGTCTGCACGGACCAAGGTTTTCCGAGTCGGTTTGCTATCACAAAGCTGGACAACTCTCGTCGCGTCTAGCGCGTTGTCACTTTACAGTCAATCACAAGCAGCATCGGGTGACTGACTGCAGATGAGCACGAACAGCCCTCCCCGACGCTTGGGGCGGACGAACACGGGAAAGATGGTTTTGCTGCTATGCTTGCACGTGAAGATTTTGCGACCACGTACAGGATGCAAATGTGTACATCATGCGTGCAATTAAATACATGATGTGCGAGTTGCCATAAATCTCGTGGACAAGTGCACTGCACTTGCTCACTAGACGGGTGGCTCTGTGACCAGTTCCGGCCAATCACGAGCTGTCTTATCATCAAAGATGCGTTGTGATAGTTGGGACATCGAATGCATCCGCACCGTCCCACGTCGCCTTATACTCACGACTACGTCTCATTGTTGGCACGTGCACGCCCAAGTGTGCGCTAGTGCAATGTACGGCATGCCTCGTTGCCTGGCACCTTTTCCGCAACACGAAATTAGAAGAAAAGAATAGGCTTCGATTTTCGTAAAAGAATCACTTTTCCTTCTTTTATTAATAAAAGACAGACGCGGTGGAGCGAACAGATCTTAACCGATCAGAACCATCCGGTGCTGTCGTGTAGCCAATCACGTGCGACGAGCATTGCCTTAGTCTTAAAATACACCAACAGCCTGCCCACATTTATGGCTATGCGGAATTCGCTATCAGTGTTTATACAATCAACGATAGGCTGGACCCAATAAATCCACGGCGTCTTATTGGTCGACTTTCCTGCCCGATTATATTTCGACTGGATGTTTCACAAGCGTGGCTCGCAGCATTTGATAACAAGGTGGGAAGCGGCAGCATCTCATCGTGTCATCTTCCGAGCCGTCGTCGTCCGTGGCCTCGCCGCCTCATCGCCAAGCACCAATGGACACCACGCCCACCAACCAAACGACGGACGACGCGCGCACGCCGCGCCGCGCCGAGTCGCCGACTAGCAGTTGCGCTCTTGATATGCTTTCGGCTGGCCTGTCCAACCAAGGCGCAGTCGACGACGGGCTCGCGCGGCGCCCATCGCTGAAGCGACCGCTGGAAGTAGACGCGGAGTTCGAGCCCTCGGACCTGCAGCTACTCAAGGTCATCGGCCGTGGCACGTTTGCGCAGCAAGTGGCGCTCGCCAAGGATCGGCACACCTCCAACGTGTACGCGGTCAAGAGCTGCGACAAGCAGAACCTCGTGCAGCGCAAGCAAGTCGTGCATACATGGACGGAGAAGAAGATCCTCGAGCAGCTCCGTGGACACCCATTCGTCGTGACGCTCTTCTCGACTTTTGCGACGCCAGATGAGGTCCACTTTGTACTCGAGTACTGTCCCGGAGGCGAGCTCTTCTACCACCTGCACCAACACGATCACTTCAACGAGGCGATCGTACGCTTCTACGCGGCTGAAGTCCTTTGTGCGCTCAAGTCGCTGCACAGCGCCAACATTGTCTATCGCGATCTCAAACCCGAAAACGTCCTCCTCGACGCGCAGGGCCACATTCGACTTGCCGACTTTGGCTTCTGCAAAGACCTTGGGTACGTCGTCTAGCGCAATGTACAGCTGAAGGCTAAGCCCCATATGTAGGGACTGCGACCGAACGTACTCTTTCTGCGGCTCACCCGAGTACTTATCCCCCGAAATGATTGCGCGCCGGGGTCACTCGACCGCAACCGACATGTGGTCCTTTGGCTGCTTTTGCTATGAGCTAGCGGTCGGCCACCCGCCGTTCCAGCTGCACGAGGACTCCCTTCCTGACCTCTTCAGCGCGATCCGAGCTGGCCGTGTGTACTACCCACAGGAACTCAGTCCGACCTTTGTCACGTTTCTCAAAGGATGCCTCGAGACGGACGTATGTGCGACTGCTCGCCAATCGTACATGATGCTACGTTGATATCATAGATCGCGACGCGACTCACGGCATCGAAGGCCATGGACGAGCCGTTTTTTGACGGCGTCAATTGGAAGAAGGTGTGGGCGCTCCAGAACGAGCCTCCGTTCCAACCTTGCGTGCTTGGCTCTGAGTGCACGCGCAACTTTGACGACGACTTTACATCCGAGAGCCCACGATCGCCCGTCTGGGGCATCGCTCCGCACAAGCGCAACCAGTCGATGCCGTCCTCGGATGTGTTCACTGATTTTTGATCGTGACCCGTCGAGCCTTGTACAAGCATAGTGTACATCCATGGTGTACATCAAACGTATGATATTTTCCACAATCCGTGGACCCCGTATTTAGTTCGTTGTGGGCGCCGCCACATTATAAAGAGAACAACGTGATACTACAAGCAACGCGTGTGTATTGTGTGTCGTCTGTGTTTGTTAGACTTTTGGTGGACACTGGCTGAGCCTTCGACAGGCAGGTGCGGACCCTCTCACTAAACGGTATCGATGGACACTCGTGTTAACGAGAAAAAGATTTGCCACTTCGCAAGCAGTAAAACTAGGACGGGAAGGTTTGCCTGGTCGCTTTCCTGCTACCGCACAGTGGTCTGAGAAGCAACTCAAGGCAGCCACACGCTCTGACCCAATGTGCACAGGGCCCAGAGCAGCTTCGTATCTCGTTGCCAGCGGCATCGACTTGACGACGCAGGTTTTTTGCAGCTGTGGCGGCAAATATTCGCCTCGCGATACATCCTCTCGTGTTCTGTGATGCGCCGCGACTGTCTCGGTGCAATTGCTTCAACCATGGCGACATCGATGTGCGTTTTTATATGCCCACGCCACGTTTTTCCGCTCGATCGCGGGAAACACAGTGGCCGATCTCAGAAAAACGCGTGGGTCGAAGCAGTTGACCGATCCAGTGCAATGACAAACGCACTGTAGCACGCACGAACCTTGCTCGCATCTTGGAAGTATCTTGCTCGAATCCATGGGTGCACTCCGTTCGAGCTCCGTCGTGGCATGATCATCCACCATACACGAGGTACGCATGTGCCTCAAGAAGTGGAGTTTGGAATCGTTGTTTAGCATTAAAATCGTGTCGTAGTGTTTATATAGGTTATAGGTAATAGAGTACTTGGATCGCGCCTCCAGAGGCCGTAAATAAGAAAATGGACTTGCCTTCGAGCTCAAACAGCAATGCACTCATCCTTGATCACAACGTCGTCGTCGGCGAGCGTAAAGAACTCATCCTTCACGAGCACGTCGTCGTTGTGGTGGCTATCGCTCGGCGAGACCCCGAGCGCTTCCAGGATGTCAAGCCATTCGGTCTCGGAGACGTCAAAGACGTTGGTCGCGCCACCGAACGGAATGGGCCCATCGACGGACGTCGGGCTCTTGAGCGCCTTGTGCAGTGACCGTTTCTTGGTCGCATATGCTTTCTGGATCGAGTTGGCCTTGGCGCGGTGGTACTCGCAGAGAGAGTGCAGATGACCGTTCTTCTTGGTCGTGCGCGCATTGAGGCACTTCTTGTACACGTACTTGCACGTACTCTCTTCTTCCACAGCTTCGCGCGCCATGGTGCTTCTTGGTCCAGTTGGAAAATGACGCGGATGAAGATGATGGAGGAAGCAAGCCCAGTTGACTTGGCCGCCCGTCTGATCCAAACGACCGCTCATTGGCCGCGGGCCAGTGCAATCTGGTCCCTACAGCCCTCGATTTAAATACCAAGGGCGGCCATCGACTTGGTATTCGTATGCAAACGAAAGAACACAAGTTTAATTTTCATCATAGCAGCTGGTCGCCCAGAAAGGCCAGCCGTGGCGCCACGCTTGGATACCGCTTTGTGTGGTCAGGGCGAGCCGCCGGCACCAAGCCTGGCCACTTGGATACTGCTGTACGCAGCCGGATGAAGTCTCGACAACCATCCATGCCGCATGCATGCACAGCTTACGGGCCGCAGAAAAAGCGTAACGTTAAACGCTAGCTCCATTGCATCGAAATGACCCACAAGATGACTGTGATCAAGTGAGAGTAGCACCCGCAAGTTCGATGGCCCTGTGACAGTCGCACGCAACTGCGCCGCGACGGAAAACTTCCATGCAGTGGCATGTTGGCAGAAAGCGATGATGCTTTTATAATTATACTAATCTATCGAACAGGTACGACTGGAAAGACGACGACGCGGGCGACAATCACGGGTGCAGCCTCGAGTCATGCCAGTCGTCAGCAGAGCCCAAGTGCCAGTCAACGCCGGCTGACTCGAGGCTGATACGCGGCGCGTCGTCGTCTGTCATGTAGCTGTCGCGCTCGCCATCGTGCCACTCGGCAACGCTGCTGGTTCTCGCGTCATCGTCCTCTTCGCTCAAGTGCCCGCTGAACGAGTGGCCGTCCTGCCATTGGGACCAGTTGGATTGCGCACTGAGCATTTTTGGGAACGCTGGGTCGTGCGATGGCGTCGGGAGTTCGTCGTCGTCGTCGACGACGCTCGACTCGTGCGCGTGGGAGCTTGATCCTTTGCTTAGTCGTTCCTGCCACGACGGGTACGTCGCACGGAGCGTCGTCGAAATGTTGCCTGGAAACTCTGGGCGGATGTTGAATGCAGACCAGCGGGCCTTGTGCATGTCGGGGCCGTACTGCTGCGGATGGGTAAGGACAACCATGTCTTCGAGGTCGTCGTTCTCCAGTGGCTCATCACCCTCGCTCATAAAGCTCAGCTTGGACATGCGCATGCTTGAGGACGGGTCGACACTGCTGTAGCCGCTTGTGACGATGTTTTCGCACGGCGTGAGAGCCTCGTAGGACACGACGCTGCTTTCCATGAGGTCGACGTCGACGCTGTTCGAGTCGAACGGTCGCTGGTCACCCCGGGGCGTGAAGGACTCGAACGAGTCCATGGTTTTTCGATGGCGCGCCGCGCGCCGCCGAAAGAGCACAAAGAGCACGACTGCGACAACGGCAACGTTTGCAGCAGCGATAGCAACATAAAACTTCCACGGCGCGCCGGTCGTGGCGATTGGAGCTGCAGAAGCAGGCGGCGCGGAGCTAGCAACCTCCTTGGCCATCGTCGGCACGGCTTCGCGCATAGGTTGAATTGTTGGCGCGTCCGTCATGATGATAACCTCGGGAATTGGCGTTGGTGCTGTTGTTGTCGTTGTTGTCGGCGTAGCCGTCGGTGGTGGTGTCGTTGTCGTCGGTGCTTGGGTCGTAGTGGGCTCTGGGGTCACCGTGGTGGGTGGCAGTGTCGTTGTAGGAGGCGGCGGTGTGGTTGTTGGGGGCGGTGTCATCGTGGATGGCGATGGGCTCGGTGTCGGGGCGTCCGTCGGCACGGGGCTTGCCGTAGGTGGCGTCGTGACTGTTACGGGCGTCGCAGTTGGCGTGTCGTTCTGTGACGTCATGTTGGCGCAGACGACGGCGGGCATGCGCGTGGACGCCAAGAGGACGAGCGACAGCCAGAGATGCAGGACGACGGGACGGCAGCGCATCGCGAGCGTCGTATCGGGGAAGCACCGATTGAAGTTTTGTCGACACCCGCCTCATGGCCAATGCAGTCACGCTTTTACCGCGGGTACGTGATTCGGCAGTCCATACTGAGACGCAGTGAGCGTGCTACACACGACACTGAGATGACCCTCCTTGAGGCGTGACCAATGGCTGTGACTCGGGCTTTGTATCGGATAGCGTTCTCCACATGGCCGATAGGTCCAGGCCACGACAGATGTACCCGAATCGCATTGCATTACATCTCCGCCACGGCACCTTATTGGTGGCTTCAGCATGTCTGCGAGGCCATTGGCTACCAATGACGAATCGCATCGCACCATGGATTTTACAAGTGCGTTGATTGGTGCGCTTCAAGATCGCGTTGCCCGATGGACGACGACCCGCTGCGGCTGGTGCAGGACATCGTCGCCGGCGACGCGACGCTTCTCGCGTATGCCCATGGCTCGCCCGTTCAACGCCATCGGCAACTATGCTACCGGAAGCTTACATATCGGCGGCGTGCTCTGATCTCATGGACGAGATGGATGGCGTCGAGTCCGAGCTCTCGCGCTGCGACGCCAGTGAGTATTGTCGTCGGCGCGCGCCAAGTGCCAAAGAGTCCACGAGCGCTCGCTTTGATGCGATGCTTGCAAATCTAGAGCACGAGTCTCGATGGTTGTCTGAGAAGGACCCCGCCCTCGACCGCGCAAGAGGATCCGCTAACGTCACCCATGTACTACCCAACAAAACCTTAGCACATTGTGGCAGGATTGCTCTCACGCAAGCGTACTGTAGGACGGCAACTCCTTGTCGCTCGATCAGCGCCCACGTTTTACACCGGCGCGTGTCCAGCCCTCATCTGCTTCTTCGTCACGCAAGTCTTCGACGAGGCCAAGCTTGGAGTGGGCCCACGTACACAAGGCGGACGCCGAAACCGCGGAACTCGTTGGCACGACCAAGAAAAACCTCTCGCAGGACAATCACGTGCGTAAGGAGGCTAACCACGCATCCAGCTCATATTGCTTGATTCCAGGCGCTGCTGGCGCGCACCCGACAAGACCTTTTAAGCCAGCGACAGCGCGAGCTTAACGACATTTTACTGCGCAACGAGCACCAAATGGAGCTCGAGAAGCAAAGCCTCGTGGACAGGCTCAGTGTAGAGTCCAAACTGCGGCGAGCAGCGCTCCAAGCGGAGCTGGACGAAGAGCGCTCACGCATCATCCGCGAGATTGAAGCCGCCCATCACGTCGCCAATTTCCAAACCGCAATAGTTTTCATGCAACATGACCACTCGTAGGCAGAAGAAGACAAGGTTGAAGATGAGGCTCGCGCCACCCTGGCGCGCGAGCTCCAAGCGGAGCGTGACATTTCTGCCCGCAAGCTACTTGCGTCTCGTGAAGCGTTGCTGGCACAGCTGCGCGCCGAGGCCCTTCAACGCCATGAAAGAGAGATGCGGGAAGAGCTCGAGAAGCTCGAGGACGCCCTTTCCATGGGATCGAAGCTTCGTTTGGATCAAGTAAGTTGCTCCACCCATGGCAAGGTTGTCTGGCGCGACGGAATCGTCCTTCTAGCTGCAGCAGCAGCTCACCCATCGAGCGCAAACCAAGCTCCGCGATGTCGAAGACAGAGCCAAGGTCGCCCTCGAGGAAGAAATGGAGACCTTGTCCAGCAAGCACGCGACACAACTCACGACTAAAGTACATGCGATGCAATCCCACCTCGCAGAGTTTGCTGCCATCGTAAAATGTGCGATGTTTTCACGTGATGTCAATAGGCAGCACCGAGTCGAGGTCGCGCGCCTACAACACAAGCTCTCGATCGACGAGACGCGCGTTCTGAACGACCTTACCGTGCAAATGCACGACATACACACAGCAAACCTACGAGACCTTGAAGCGCGTCACAGGGACGAGAGCGCCAGGAGGCGGCAGGAGCTCCAAGTCGCATACGAAAACGAATTTGCGGCGCGCCTGGTGACGGTGAGGGCGTCACTCGAGGCTGACCTCGCCCAGCGCACGGAGGTTTACTTGCGTGCGCAACGCGCCGAAGTGGCGACAGCTATCGAGAGTGCGACGGCGCACTTCCACCAGCGGCTCGAACGACTCCGACGCGAGTTGCGCTTGGTTGCGGGCAAAGTCCCACCGTCCACTAGGTTACACACGGTGCAAACACTTGCCGACGTTGCCACGTGGGTTGACGCGGTCGCGTCCGAGGTCGCTGACGTGGCAGGCCAGCAGGCAGGTCTCCTGGACACGCTCGAGAAGCTCGCAAAGCAGCTCGTCGCCGCGCGCCGTGAGAAAGCCGATCTTGAAGCCGAGGTCCAGCGTGTGATATTGCAACTCGACGAGAAGGACCGCGCATGCCAGCAGTTGTACCTTGCCAACGAGAGCCTACTCCAGCGCTTTCGGGAGCCAACAAAGCCATAAACAACATTGATCGATGCGCAATACATGACGAGCCGAATGTCCTGTAATTTTGTGTTACTGCATCCTGGATTTCGGTGTCAGGTCATTCCACCAACCGCTGACGCACGGTGCGTCGTTTCGACAGCCCAGTCCGCGCGACGATGTACCGCGCTGCATCGACGTTAGCGTACTACGTCTTTCTCGGGCGACACGGGTGCTGGCGTTGCCATTTTCCGATTGCTCTCGGGTGTTCATGTCCTGCTTGAGTATACTATAGCTGTTTGTATGCAACTCGCACGCACCATGCCTTACTCATCATGATGATGAAGCGTCGCCAATGGCGTCAAAGGCGCGTCTAACCGCGCGACGAACGAACAGTAAACAGTGTACCATGTATCGTACAGCTTGTCGACACAAGACAATAAAAAGCACGAATCTAAGCGTTGGGACACGAGCTGCCCCGCCGCTAGAAACTCCGGAAGCCCGTTTATGCGTTGGTCGTGTCCCGCCAGCGAGATTTCACACCCGCCACTGTCGCTGCCCGTCCGCAACGCGTCGAAGCCGCCCAGGCTCTGTCACATTCGCCACCTGCTGCGACCATTTCTCGAAAGAGTGCATCGATGTCCTGCGCTTCTGAAACCACGCATCACATCTGGGACGTTTGCGGTACATGCAGCCTCTTGGCCGCGCTTGAGACGGATACGGGAACTTGACGTCCACGCTGGGATCTCGCCGCGTAACTCACTGCCCCATGCGTTCATTGTGGCAACGAACGCGTCGGCTCGGCGAGGGTCCAGCTGGGACCGTGCTGAGAAAGGAGTGAGTGATCACAGCTCATTCAAAATGAACGCCCGACACACTGAATGGTCCGTGCTTTCTCCAGCACGAGAAAGACAAGGGTTTACACTGGTACCTTGCGCATGTTAGTGCCGGTATGGTTTGTGTGTCAAGACAGATGTCTGCACCCCGCCCCCGAAAGATGCAGTGCTGGCGCCCTAAACCAGCTGGCGCATAGGTATGTCTTGGTCCTCTCACCGCACACGCGCCACTCTGAAAAAGGCCATGTTGGTGTCATTTCGAAATTTTACCCCGTGGACGACGAGCATGGCGACGCAGGATTCCGACGATGTCATGACTGGCTGCCGCGTGCCTCACTGTGACCGGTTCGCCAAGTTCATGGGCGTATGCCTCTTGCACGCAGGCCACAAGTACGAGCGCTCCGCCCGCAGCGCGTCGGCGTCACCACCGCGGTCGCATGCAATGATGTCGCTCGATGCAATCACGAGCCCGGCAACGAGCGCTTCGGGACGCCGCGGGCGGTCGCGCTGGTGTGCGATCACCGACTGCCAGCAACTCGCACGTATCGATGGTCTCTGCACGCGCCACAACATGCAGCTGAGCAGCCAGAAACGCAAGTGCAGCGTCAACAATTGCACGTCATACGCACGAACCCGTGGTCTGTGCACGCGTCACGGCGGCGGGAAGCTGTGCTCCGTCGACGGCTGCAAGACCGTGGCCCAAAGCGGTGGCGTCTGTCGAACCCACGGCGGTGGTTCGCGCTGCAAGCACGACGATTGCAACCACTTTGCGCGCGTTGGCGGCTTTTGTGGCCAACACATGCCCCAGAGAGCCAATACAAGCGGCTAGTCCGTTACTCTAGTTTAGTTAGTTGTAGCTCCTTAGTAATTTAATTCGTTTACCCTTTCATAGAACTCCGTTGAATGTCGAGGCGTGCGAGGTTATGTTGTGTCAACGCTACACGCACCGCAGTGTGCTAGACACGGCAGGACTGAGCGCGTTTCATGAGTAAACTAAACTTCCTGGTGCTGTCCATGGAGGGCGGCAGCTCGCTGCGACATGTCGCGTAATGGCGTCCACGCGTTCCGTTGCCATAGGGTTGCGCCAGACAGATAGATACGCCTCGACATCTATGCGTGCCAAAGATTACAAGGAAATGGAGCTCCCAGAGGATCCTGCATAGACTGCACCAACAGCGGGGCAGCCAGGTTCCAACCGATTATGGTACCACTTATGCTACAAGCTGGCGACGCGGACTGAGGCTACCCTGCACGAACTCTCGCTGGGGACCGACTAACGATATGGTGCAAACATAGTATCGTCGTCGTGAGGTGTAGCTCGAAGGCCGAGATGGGGGCGGTAGTACGATTAGCGGTGTGATCGAGGGTGCTGTTTGGCGCTTCAAGACACTTCCAAGAAGCGCGAAAAGAACCGTTTGCTCTTGTATGAGGCGCTGGTCTCCGAACGTCCACTTCGACTTTATGACAGCTCCACTATACTAGTAATAAACTGCTCCAGCCGAGCTCAGAACAGCCAGTCCTTCCTATCTATTAATCCTCCCAGACCTAAAGGCGGATAATAGTCTGTGGATAATGGTGCTCTTCAAATGCCTCACGTGTATGGGCAGGCCAATTGAATTCCTCAATCAAGACCGAACTGCTTGGGGGCAACAACCGCGTTGGTACCCGCCTTGCTGGTGGTCCCAGATCTCAAAATACACAGGTTACAAGATCCACGTTCCAGGCGCAAAGCAGGCGAGCAAACGTCATTTCCATATTAGTAGTTTCAGTCAACAAATTAACCCGTTCGGCCTTGCGCGGAAAACATTCTTAGGAGCAAACGGCCCGTGCAGCACGAGGACCACGAAATACAGGATGCATATTGCAGTGCTGGGTACATTGCAAAATGTTAAGGAGCAGCATACCTATATATATTTCGCGTTATATCTTCGTTGTCAACAAAGAGTTCACATACGTAGAGACTAGCAATCTCCTTCTTCTTCATTCGCTCGCCGGGCCGTGGCTGCGCAGGCGGCGGCGCGGGGCCCGTCTTGTTCTTCTGTAGACGCGCGGGGGCGTTTGTGGCCGCGGGTGAGGTCCATGATGACAAGCTCCGTGGATTCCTTCCAGGCGTCGCGATCGGCGGCAAAGCTACGCAGTTTGTTGAGGTCCTCGAGAGACGCCAGCGACTGAGGCAGTGTCAACGACTGGAGGTCGCGGTGCCGGACGATCGGCAACGTGATCTTGGTGCGTCCTAAAAACGGGGCGTCTCGGGCGGGTCAAAGAAGCGGACGGCGGCAATGGTAGCAGGGAAGTCTTGTTTCATGCGCAGCACGTGGCCCAGAAGGCGCCAGCGCTTGTGGGCAACGATCTCGCTCAGCAGGACGAGCATACCGGTATGTAAAGTCCTTCCTGGTTCGACACGAGTGCGTCCGATCTCATGAGGCACAGGTCACGGCCAGGGTCACGGCTTGCATCCGGACCATCGAGCGGAAAGCGAGTCATGCTGCTGCGTTTGTGCAGTACCATATACAAGGTTCCTGTGGAGGGTGCTGGTTGGAATGCATATATGACCGTTTTGGTGTTCACAACATAAAATGTTTTATGTACGTGAAGTTAACAAGTGTCGACGGCTACGCAGCCGTGGATGGATCGTGCCATCGCAGTAGACGTACTGCTTCATCCAACGAAGGAGCGACATGTATGAACGGCATTCGTGCCCTTGAGCGCAGCGGCGCGGATTTCTCTTTCTTGAGGCGCGCTGTCTTGGCTGCTTCATCCTCGTTGGCGCGCGCCGAGGCATGGCCCTTGCGCGCAGCTTTCGCGGGCTCATCTTCAGATGCGTACGATCAAAGCCACTACCCGACACAGAGCAGCCTGGATCGTTCCAGCGCTCGATCAGCGAGTGCCGCAGCAGTACACAGTAGTCCGCAGTAGTACACACAATCTCGTGGCCGCTCGTGTTCCTGGTTGGGGCTGGTAGGACTGCATAGAATTCTGCTTTTGCTGTACATGAGTGCGTTGTGCCTATATGTCTATGTAGTAGCTCCTTGACGCTTGGGCCGCTGCATTGCCAGGTGGACGTACGTCGAGCCATGTACAGTACATGTACTACGACGCAGCTATCGCGGGCAGCTATCGCGCGCGTTTTCTGCGTTGCACAATGCGGGCCTTTTTCTGCACTTGGCCAATGAGAACGTAGATGCGGTTTCATTTTGTCCAATCAAATACTGCACAGACAGCGGACAGACAGACAGACAGAGACTGCCTGTGGGCTGGTGTAACCCCAAAGACGGCGGGTAACAAAGCCTGACGGACGAAGAAGACTTTGAGCAGAAGGAATTCGAGACGCTCATGCAATACATCCTTGCCCAGTCCAAGTACTTCAAGGAACACCCGGAAGCAACAGTCAGCAACGGCCTCGTCGACGTGCTTACAGGCGGGCGACTTCGCGCACTCGAAGACGTCATCAAAGCATAGTGCCCGACTTCATAAAGCTCATAGAGCCGCAAGTGGCCTCGCTTTTGCTTTCCACTGAAATAAGCATTGTTGTGTTTACCCTTCATGTTCGAGCCACAATTCGAGACTTGCGGCGTGGATGTGTGTTCACTTGTACTTTATAACATAACAAAGCCTGTTGAAACAACAAGCGCGCAGCGGTGGCCTACGTTGCTTCAGTGGAAGCCTGGTGACGAATGTGAATGACACTTTGCAGAACTGCTAAGATGGCCAGCGACTTGGACGATGGTAAGGTACGCGACGTACTAGTACAAGCGATGCATGCATACACCATTTTAGCACACGAAGAACGTGAATCGGACGTCTGCTACACTTCAGCGCGAGTACCAGTATGTGGCCATCGCATAACGGATGTTTTTAACTGTGCATTTGTATGAGCGCTGCATTGATCGATGAATGCTGAAATGAGTTACGTATTCCATGCAATCGCAGTGCTAGTATACAGATAGGTCTAAATGCGCTCGTGAGGCGTGGCCGGTGCATCAGGCGAGGGTCGTTAGTGGTCGTGACTCGGGGTTGTGCGAGGGACAAGGTAGCGCGCACACCAAGGGTCGTCTCTGAGAGTGTTGAGCGACGCGTCAAGCGATGGCACCACATCGCGAAGCCAAGTGCCGGACATGCAGTCGTGCGATAGTAGATGCCTTGACGGCGAGCGCAGCAGCGGGACCGTATATGCATTGTTTACCGGTACTTTACAACGGAAACCATGCCTCGAAGATACACGCCGGATGACTGCTACGAGTACGTACGGGTAGTGTTCCGCGAGGCTGTGTGCGCCCACAACACGAGTGATCATGGGGCATACGATTCACATGTAAGGAGTCACGCCTCTTGGATAAAATCATGCGTGTGTGAGATTCGCGACGGCCTGGTTCACCGAGTTGGTCACAAGCAGGATCGATCGCGATACTGTCCAAGCTTTTACCGGTTCTCAGCGATGACGTGGGAGTGAGCATCTGGCAAGCGCTGATACGGTGGGCAATTGGTAAACACGCAATGCATCGTGCCAATCCCAGCGAAGAACGAGCTCTTTTTACGAAGAAACAGCGCAGGTACGTACCGTAAATACTGAGCGAGATTGACTAAACGACCAACTGAAATTGTAATCTGTCGCCGTCTGTCGCTGTTCCCGTGCGTTGAACAGCTGGCGCACGGTCGTCTCTTCAGAACTACTAAGCATCCTGGCACAAACGCGGACGCGAACGTACCACGGTGCATTCGAACGCAGGCCGTAATACGCACGCCCTCGTGGTTCTTGAAGCTTAGTAAGTCGGTCACATCTTTCGCAGGACCTTGCAGAACGAGTTGAGCGCCAAACTCACATGTTTGCTGCTCTTTCCGTGAATCTTTGAGATCTCTTTTTGCTCCTTGTACCGTTCATGTCAGCGTCAGCTAAGTGGACGCCTTTGGTCGCAAAGAAAGGGGTTTTTCGTAAAATATGAGCCCAGAGATCCAGGTCCACACATGCGTGCAGGAGACATGCGCTTGAAAAAGCATAAGCGCTCGTCGTCTGATTCACCACCCACGGGAACCTTGCTTGTACGTGCAGCTTCTTCATCTTCTTCGTTTGCTCCACGTCGAGTGACTCGCACTTGATGCAGCGTGGATCAGTCGTGGTGCCCGTTCAATCGAAGTGTTGGGCAGCACCGTCCTTTTCTCGTGGACGTCCACGACACAGCGCCCGAAACGATAGCCTTGTCGTTCGCAACGCCGGCCCAGCATATCCATTAGGGTGCTGGATTTTTGTCAACCAGCAGCAACCGATCGAGCCAACAAGACGTGGGGTGTCGGGGTTAGGAGGGTGTTGGTAGAAACGGAGACACAGTATAATTTACAACATTTAGTGAGGGAACAAGCTATCAAACAGGTGCGTGGAAGCCACAGAGACCACCAGCTTTGCTGAATTGGTCGCAATCGGGATGCTTGCAGCGCGGGCCACCGCCGTGTAGCCGACACAACCCACCCGACTGCGCCGACGTTTTGCAGCCATGGAAGCGGCAGACGTTGCCCCCGCCGTGGCGAGTGCAGAGGCCGCGCGTCCTGGCGTACGAGTTGCAAGAGACAATGACGCATTTGCGCTTCTTGCTGCTGAGCTGCATGTTGTGGCGAGTGCAAAGGCCGTCGATGCGCGCGAGCTGCTCACATTCGGCGATTGAGCACCAACGGTTCTTCTTCGACCGGCGCTCGCTGCCAGAGACAGACGACGCCGACGACTCGTTCGAGTGCGTGAGCATCTCGATGGACATGGTTTGCGCAGGCTTTTCGGTCCACTTGGGCCTTTGGAGCTTGGCGTGGATCAAGCAGAGACTGTCGCACTTGGCGTACCGGGCACAGTGGGCGACGTGGCACAAGCGCAAGGCGCGGTCGATGGTGAGGAAGACCATTGCGGTGGCCGGCAAATTTGTAAGTGGAGTCCTCTCGTTCTAAAATGCGCACCAGATGGTCCGAGTGGGGCCATGATGCCTGCCGCTGGCAGGTGGCTTGATCATCATCAAGATTCACCGCATGTTGATGCCACGCCGCGCCATCTGCTAGCCACACCGCGTCTGACGTGGCATTGGCGCCACACGCAGAACATTTACCACAAGCTATAACACTTCCGTAGACGTCGTGACCGCCTTTGTGGCGTTGTTTCAGAGGCCACATCAGCGTGATGCCTCCTTGAGCATCCATCCTTGTCGTCCTCCGTGATCACCTTTTTCAGAGCATCTGCGCAGCAGTCCTCAAGCAGTGCTTGTATGGCCGTGCGTTTGTTGATCTGAGCACCACATGTTAGCACGACGACGTCTTTGCCTCACTCATTCTTTTTCGCATTACCGATACAATCGATCCAAATCCAATCTCGGCCACATCTCAGTTGACGGGATGGCATGCTTAGGCTTGGACATAACGATAGCAATATACACGACATCAGCGTACGGTGGTTGCCGACCAAGAACGGGCAGATTTGTCCGTTGCTATTCAACATGTATCGCCATCACTCGGTTGGATACGGTGCTAATGGGTGGACAGCTCGTCTTCTACAGCAACGGAAAGCCGTGGTTGACCCGGGCCAGTAGTACGATGCCTGCGGTGTGTGTGCGCAGCGGCCAACGCAGTGGGTGTTTGGACCAAATCATCCGTGCCTTGACACGCTAGTCACACGGTGTGCCACGTGGCGCGGTGTGTAATTCGTACCACTCTACATTTAGTAGACCTTATTTTTCCGATCTTGCTTGCCGACGAGCGTATCGTTCGCGCCGTGCGTAGCGCCGAAATGGCTCGTCACGCTGTTCGATACGAGCCTTGTCGACACGCGCCGTAACTCGCGGGCCATCCACTTTTGTTTCGACGCAGTGTCGTTCCCTCGACTGTCCTCGCACCATGTATTTTTATTTACGCACGATCGCATTTCAGGGTGGGAGGCCGTATGCGAAAAGCAATGACACCGCACGTAGGATACAGAGCGCAAAGGAAGAAGCATCATCGTGTGTACGTATACGTCTAGATAGTCCAGCGTCGTTTCTTCCGATACCTATGGTATCGCTCGAGCCATAGCCAGTGCGAAAGTATCTTGGCTCGTCAATTCTGATTCGATTGCCGGGTCAGTTACCGTGCACTTTGCCTCCGCGTATCTCCTCGCAAGCTTGCATTTGTGAACGTGGACGTCCAGACGGTACTACATTAATGGTGGTGCTGGCGTCGGAAAGATGTGGAAGCAACTTCCACCCATGTGGCCCTGGTCCGTCCGTTCAAGACACATGTCTTCCTTCACACACAGCATCGAACCATGCGCGAGTAATTGCCGTGGGTGCCTGGTCGGCGCATCGCGTGCGTTGATTTGAAATGCCGCGACGCACCGTCGTAGCGAGTCATCATCCGTAGCCAGCGGCTTGGCGGCACCGAGCAGAATACAAGTTACCACGACTTGACATCGGCGCTTCATTGTCTTCGCCCAGACCAAGGACAACCACTACATGTAGCTAACTGCATGTAACCGACGCTACAACTTCAAGCGAAGGGCTCTCTATCCTCAGGCCCAGCGATGTTAAGGTACAATTGTACATGTAGGTGAGAATTCTGGACAAGTGCTCGAGCTGCAGCCTTTCAATACACCGATCAAGATTCCAATCGAGACGATCGAGATTCCGATCGCGTCTCCGCTCGAGTGGACGCGTGCAGCACGTCTGCGGCTGTGTGTTCAACCTGCCACCCATCCACTTCTGTGTACGAGGAGCAAAAAAGAGCGATCACCGATTACATAAATTATTCGTCTTGTCCCTACATGCTACAGCGGTCGGTGATGGCTTGCGACGCCGCACGCAGACCTTGCATCCACATATCAAATTCCGTCTCCGAATCTGTCTACTCCACCATGCATGCATGATACAGACGCGTCGGGCGACATACCGAAAAGTAATATGTGCGCTCTTCGGGCTTGAACTGTGTCAGCTTGAAGGTTGTGGCCGGACTGTTCATGTACCGCACCTCATCGGGCGCGACGTCTTCAATAAGACAGCGCTAGGGACGACTGAGATGACCTATATCAAACAGCACAGCGCACCGTGAGGTACACGACGCCGAGGCGCAGCGGCGCCATGCGGTCCGTGCCCATGTAGTATGAGAGCACGCCGTTGTGCAGCGTGCACCAGTGCGGCTGCCACGTGTCCAATTGGCAGGCCGCGATCCATTCTTCGAGGTCCCGCGTCGTTGGCGCCTAGAGGTGGCCGTTAACGCTAGCCGACCACTGGAGACTCGTACGATAAAGTAAAAGGTTCTGTTCTCTGTCGCGACTTGGTCGATTTTGAAAACGAACGAGTTGTACGGAATGTCGGTGAGGTCGGCTTCGTATTGGTCGCAGACTTCAACCGTCGCGCCCTACCCACTTTTTATGCATAGCCGCTCGTAGCGGAAAATACGCACCATGAGATCGATCACGCCAAGACACATGCGCGACTGGTTGACGTCTTCGGGCGCCTTGTAGTAATAGACAAAGCCATTGTACAGCACGCACCAGCGACTCTTCCAGCTCTTGACCCACGCGCCCTAGGATCTCATCGCAACATGCAATTCACATGCACAACATACGCGCTTGGTGAGCCAGCCCATGCGCGCGCGCTTCGTATCAATGTACGGCGGCTCGATGCGCTTCTTGGCGAGGAGATGCGAAAGGATCGACTGGTTCGCCGTGTTCTCCATGAGCCGGCCCGTGTGCAAGACAATGTCGTTGTTGTCGCCGCTCCGGCGCGTGCAGGATTGACAGATGCGCCCGAGGCGCAGGACGCCGTCCGTCACCGGCGCCTGGTCCGTCACCGACGCCCGGCGCATTGTGCTCATCGCGCTCGATCCGCCGAAATGGACTTCGCCTCTTGCCATTGGCTCTGCCCGTATGTCACGCTGCGATACAGCCAATCAACGTGCAGCCACGGCGTGGCACCAATCACGGCGCGATCTTGCCAATAGGCGCAAAAATTTCGAGGACGCCACGCCAACCTCTAAGACTCGATACCAACCTCTCCAAACACATAAACCTTCGTCATCATCAGACCAAGAGGTCCGCCTCGGAAGCGCGTCCCATCGTGTGAGGTCCGTCGCATGTGCGCTCGTAAGAAGAGTCCGAACGAGCTGAACCTGCGGCGAGGTCGGCGATTAAACAGCATGAGTTTAGCCTATGATGCCGCCGGGTTATGCAATAACGTGGTAGAAAAAAGCGTAAAAGGACTGGGTTTTATCGTCGAGCTGGCCACGTCCGGATTGCATCCGGATGATTCTTATGTGGGTAATGGTCGCGTCCGGATACGCATACGAAGTGCAAGAGACGGGTATCCGGCCACCCGGTCGAGGCCAGCACAAGTCAAGTTGGAAGCAATCGAACCTGGCAGCATGGCCATCCTCTTTGGCATGGAGTTGAGCCCAACGATGGCCGGCGTCGTGTATGGGCTCCTGGGACTCGCGCTTCTGCTGCTCATCGGCGCCATCATCTACTACTGGAACTACGCCAAGCGCATTGAGCGCTTCCTCCAGAACGACAACCGCAACAACAACATGCTGCGCCAGGACCTCATCGACACGTTCGTGGCGCGTGGTGAGGAAGAGTGGCCGTGCTCCATTTGCTTCCACGACAACCACCCGAGCAAGAAGGAGTGCGTCATGTGCGGTACGCCACAGGTCGTCATTGCTCCCAACCTCCCTCGGCCATCCGGCTTGCGCAAGTCGGACTTTGTACGCCCCGAGCTCAACCGGTCCAAGTCTACAGTCCTCGACCAGCAGAGCCGAATCCGATCCTTTCACGTGCGGCGCCTCAAGCAGATGAACCTGACTGCGCGCCAAAAAGCAGCGATGCGCCGTCACCTCTGGCGCCGGAAGAAGGGCCCGGACGGCCAGATGCACTGGGTGCGCATCGACGCCGACGAGAACGACCCGACGCGCGAAAGCACAGTCGACATGGAGCTTATGGACCCCAACCACCACGAGATTGATATCATGAGCCCGATCTCGAACACGGGCTCGTCGATCGAGGAGCATGACCCGTACGAGGCCCACGTCGCGTTGGCGATGCGCGACCTCGGCTACGACGACGAGACGGGCACGACGCCGTTCCGGCCGCTGCGAGCAACGGCGCTCAAGCAGCTTGAAGAGGCCGAGGAACGCACGAGTATGTTCCACAGCGGCGTCATGCCCGACTTCCTCGGCGGCTTTGGCTACGGCAAGGGCCAGCTCCAGCTCCCCGTTGTCACGGAAGAGGACCGTCGCAACAACTTTACGACCTTGTCGACGGGGTACGTCCGGCACGAGAACGCAGACGGCGGCATGGAGTTTGCGCCCGCGACGGCCGTACCCGTCGGCGAGTCGCGCCAACTCGACTGCGAAGACGACCTCGAAGAGATCGCGGCGCTTACCTTCCAGGAGAAGAACCGGTGGTTCCTCGAGCAAGTCCAGAAGCGCTGGCGCAAGTACGACGAAGGCCATATTCAGTTTGGTGCGTTTCTTTTCTGGTTGACGATGGCGTACTCAGTGCCGATCTAGTGGTGCGGCGCGACCATCTCATCGAGGACTCGATGGAGCAAATGCTCAAGTGTCCCGCGTCGCGCTTCTGGGAGCGCCTCCGCATCTTTTTTGAAAACGAGCCGGGCCTCGACGCTGGCGGTCTCATCCGCGAGTGGTACGAACTCCTCAGCGACAAGCTCTTTAGCGAAGAGATGGGCCTCTTCACGGCGACCAAGGGGTCCAACCTCGCGTACTGGATCAACCCCGCGTCCAAGTCGATCCGCGGTGAGGACCACCTCCTCTACTACGAGTTTGTGGGCCGCCTCATCGGGAAGGCGCTCATCGAGGGCTTCAACGTCAAGATGTCTCTTGCGCTGCCGCTCATCAAGCACATGCTTGGCGTGCCCATCTCGTTCTCGGACCTCGAGTTTCTCGACGAAGAGCTCTACCGCAACTGCCGCTGGCTCAAGAAGAACGACCAGGCCGAGCTGCTCTCACTGGACTTTACCGTCTCGGTCGTCACGCCCGACGGCAAATACGCGACGGTCGACCTCAAGCCGCACGGCGCCGACATCCCCGTGACGGACGACAACAAGGCCGAGTACCTCGACCTGCTCTTCAAGCATTACATGTTTGAGAGCATGTCGACGCAGCTCGCGGCCTTCCTCAAGGGCTTTTACGAAATCGTTCCGCTCTTCCTCATCTCGGTCTTTGACTACCAAGAGTTTGACCTGCTCCTCTCGGGCATCCCCGACATTGACTGCGGCGACTGGCGCGCGTACAGCGAAGTGCGCTGGGTCAAGCTCGAGCAGCCGACGCCGACGGAAACGGCGGTCGTCAACTGGTTCTGGAACGTGGTGCAGAGCTTCTCGGGCGAAGAGCGTGCGCGTCTACTGCAGTTTGCCACGGGCACATCCCGCGTACTTCGTCACCAGACTCGAGACGTCGAGAACTCATGTGTGTATGGTGTAGGTACCTGTGCAGGGCTTCAAGGCGCTTACGTCGTCCGACGGCCGCGTGCGCCGGTTTACAATCCAGATGGTCAACCGCGGGCCGCCGCCAACGGGCTTGATGCCCAAGGGCCACACATGCTTCAACCGGATCGACTTGCCTCTGTACACGAGCCAAGACGAGCTCGCAAAGTACTTGACGCTCGTCATCAACATGGAGATCACGGGGTTTTGGTTAGAGTAATTAGTAGGCGTAACTATTATGGACGTTATTGTACACAACGTTGAGTAAGAAACCTGGCATGCGTTCATCGAGAGACGCGATTGCTCGCTGCCTTGACAGCTACCAACCACAATTTCGGCGATGGCCACACTCTTGCAAACGGGGGCCACCGGATGGCGTTAAATTGACGCCAAGTGTGCATGGGACATCGTCAATAGCTACGCAGCCAGGACGAGCTGCTGCGGCAAGTACTTCGAGACTAATAACGACACTGCTGCGAGACGACGTCCCCACAACGAGAGGTCGGACAGGCGCCTCGCGAAAAGTGCTGCTGCCACGTCAGAAAAAGTATTGTAGCTTGTTAATCATCAAGTACAAAAACGAGCTCAGAAGGCGGCCGATGCGTCTTCGTGTGTCGCCAGCAACTAGTACGTGGCATCGTCCAGCGGGAGCTCGTCGCGGCGCTGGCGCATTGTGACCATGGCAACGGCAGCAGCGACGACGCAGACGAGGCGCACCATGGACGACGACGGATCCGTCGTGTTGGCGTACAGCCGAAAGATGCGAACCATTGCATTACAGAACGAAAAGTACATTTATTATTGTTGCGAATCAATCATCATACTGGTATGCAAGGAAGGCGAGTTCAGACGGCAAAGTTACAAGGCGATCGACGCGTCTTCGTGCGTCGCCAGCAGCTTGTACGTGGCGTCATCCAGCGCGAGCTCGTCGCGGCGCTGGCGCATCGTGACCATGGCAACGGCAGCAGCGACGACGCAGACGAGGCGCACCATGGACGACGACGGATCCGTCGTGTTGGCGTACAGCCGAAAGATGCGAACCATTGCATTACAGAACGAAAAGTACATTTAACAGGTCCCATGCGGGGTGAGCTGGTAGGAACTTTTGAATATATATACACTGTATATGGACGTGTTTCGCGGGATCTTGATGTTACAAAGAGGTTGCATACATAAAGACTAGCAATCTCCATCTCCTTCATTCGTTCACCGGGCCGTGGCTGCGCAGGCGGCGGCGCGGGGGCTCCTCTTGCTCTTCTGTAGTCGCCCGGGGGCGCTAGCGGCCGCAGGTGAGGCCCATGACGACACGATGTGTAGAAGCCTTCCAGGCTTTGCCGTTGGCGGCAGAGCTACGCAGTTGGTTGAGGTCCTCGAGAGACGCCAGCGATTGAGGCGGCGTCAACGACTAGAGGTCGCGGTGCAGGACGATGGACAACGTGATCTTGGTGCGACCTAAAAAACGGGGTGCATCAGGCGTGGCAAATAAGCAGGCGGCGGCAATGCTGACAGGGACGTCTTCCTTCAGGCGCAGCACGTGGCCCAGCAGGCGCCAGTGCTGGCGGGCAACGATCGCGCTCAGCGGGGCGCTGTCGCAGCGCTTGTAGAGCGCGACGTCGCCGAGCGTGTTCGGGTGAAAGATACCTAGAAGGAGGCGCAGCTGCCGGCGATGGAAGCTGTCAAGGCCCCTAAGGCTCGTTGGCGTCAGGGCCCACGTGCCACAGTTGAACTTTTGAATGCGAAGCATTGTTTACCGGTATTTGCGACGACGGCGCGTCGCTTGCTGCAGTCTTCAATGTGGCATCGCACCTCGGTCATCGGTATTTGCGACGACGGCGCGTCGCTTGCTGCAGTCTTCAATGTGGCATCGCACCTCGGTCATCTCGTTCTTCCAGAGCATTTTTGATGCCTTCGTCATGAGTCGAGTTGGCCTCCGTCGATGGGGTTGCTGCGGCGGGTTGCGAACGCTTCGCGAGTCTTGCCTTCCTTCGGGTCTCTTGCATGCTCTGCGCTTGCCGCTCCCGGAAGAGCTCCGCCTCGTACACCGTTCGTGGCTTTACCTGCTTCCCATGCGGCCCCATGGTATGGTACTAGAGGGTGTCCTTGCCATGACGGTCGTCTCCGCGCGTAACTGTCAAAGCGCGGTGAGAGCTCTATTAGGTGCGGCTGGGATGGCGTCATGTACCCTGATAAGTGCTTCGTACTTACTTTTTACAAAATCAAGTATAATGTCCATGATGTGACAGCACTTAACAGGGACAGCAAAATCGCACTTGACAGGACATGTTTCGCGCGATGCGATTGGCTGAGACCAATGAAACTGCGTTTCATTGAACAGCAAATCTGGAATTATAGCCAATGGGTTGGCCGGATTGAGACACGACACGCCGAATTAATCCCCTGGGATGCTGGTACACCACGTAAACGTTCCTACCAGGATTGTTGCGAATCAATCATCATACTGGTATGCAAGGAAGGCGAGTTCAGACGGCAAAGTTACAAGGCGATCGACGCGTCTTCGTGCGTCGCCAGCAGCTTGTACGTGGCGTCATCCAGCGCGAGCTCGTCGCGGCGCTGGCGCATCGTGACCATGGCAATGGCAGCAGCGACGACTCATACAGATTGAGAAGCACGACGACGGATC